AATCAGGCAAGGTTCATCCGTTGTCGGCGTGAGAAATAGTACTGGCGGAGAAGTCGCGTTACTTGATGTGTGGTATCGTGTACTTTTTCAGATTGGTGTTGGTCGATGCTGGTTCAAGGTATGAAAACGAAAGGAATACGGAACAGCTCATTTTCTTGAGCATATGGCCTTCAAGGTATGCACCAGTTTTCATAGTGAAGCTTGAAGTGAATACTGAATTGTAACGCTTTCTTTTCTCTGAAGCTTAACTGCAGGGAACGTCTCGTCGTACGAGAAATGCGCTAGAGCTAGAAGTGGAAAATATCGGAGCTCATCTAAATGCGTACACTTCACGTGAACAGACTGTTTACTACGCTAAATGTTTCTCTACTGATCTTGAGCAATGTGAGTCTTGTCATAACCCTGGATCAGGTTTTAGTTAGGCAGGTTACGTTGGAGTGAACGTTCTTCTGAGAGGCCAAGCTGTATGACTCCGATGCGGGAGAGAAGTTGTGGGCAGGGTATACCGTCGCGATGAGGAAAATTGCTTGTTCAGTACAACCCTCGTTACATCATCAGTAGCCCGCAAGAAGTCTGCCTTCAATTCTCATGTACATTTACTAGCAGGTTCCCAGAGTGCGTCGACGTCAGGAGACAAACCTCTTCCGGGGAGGAGTCCTTAGCTCTTGACATATAATAGTGATGGAGGGGGGGGGGACAGCATGTGGAAGTTGGATAAAGTCTTTTCGGGAGGTCCTATTCGATCGAGTTGAAAAGCAAGGTCTAACGGGCATTCTATGCTATACCTCATGGAACTCATCTTGGTCTTGAAAGTGGGCTATGCTTGCTCTCAGTTCGATATTGTATCAGTGATCAAGGTCTCCTAGCTTATCGTATTGTTTCAGCCGTCGACATTCTCTCGACATTTTGCTAAATAGCAATTTGAATCCTCGTGATATCGAAGCAGAGCGTAGCGTAATTTTACGGGAAATGCAAGAAGTGGAGCAAAACTTTCAGGTATGTCTTCATTTATAATACGGCGGTATCACTTGTATCAATCCTGGGCTACCCGTCTTTCGTAGAAGCTTAGCAATACCGGTGGCAGCTGATGACTTCCAATCATATAACGAATACGTACAGGTTCATACTTTGTGATCCGATCTGATCTCTCGAATGGCTGATCCATAAACACTGCACGAACGCTTCCCATTTGAATTATGTCGCTGCTGCGGTGTACCGACTGGTACTGCACGTCATCGTGTAATGGTCGCGAATGAAGCCGTTAGAGCGATCTGAATCCGCATTCCAAGCGATCACCTAGTGTGAACGATACTTTGACCTAATCTATTCCAACAATGTTAGAGATGGTTGGGAAAAGTAGGATGGCAGGTCCTTTCCGCCTTGAATTCCGCACTTTTGCGGGCCGATAGTGGCAGTAGCAGTCCTTTGCTAGATTGTAGACGCTATGTGTAGACGCTAATGTAGATCAGCGAGCGTGTCCCTTCTCAATCGGGCTTCCGGCTGATGAGATTATGCCTGCTCTGCAGGACTGTTTCACAGTGACTCTGGTCTTCAGCGCTCTAAGCCTGATCATTTTTTGGGGAATAGATGCAAAGGCGATGTCGAATGTCCCCTCCGCCTACGTTAGGCAGCTTCAGACTTCGCGATGACGCGCTGTAACTCACGTATACGCGCTACCACTGCAATGGCGCCCCAATGCTAATAACGCCAACGTAGCCGCAGACGGGAATTGGTGGCCGCTTGTGTTTCGAGACAGTATAGGATGACAGGACAGCATTTTCCCCAGAGCCATTCTGTCCAGAATCGCCGATTTTTGGCCTGGACAGCGACGGCGTACGCGTACCCTTACACTCCCTCATACTTTCTCAGAACACAAGCAACCGGCGCTGAACATTACCGGTCTGCGGCCGCGCTTGCATCTGTAGTATTGTAATGCGTCATCGCAAAATATGAGCGCTGTCTTAGCGCCGTCTCTTTGAGTGTTTCACCTCAGCGACTGCAGTGAATTTTCCTTTTTGCTAATTGACGGTTTTTAGGAAGTTGTTTTCGATCATCTTCATACAGGTGTGTTCGCGGGTAATCCGCTGTCAATGACTATACTTGGTCCTGTAGAGAATATCAAGTAAGTGAAAATTTCTACACTTGTTGGGGACTTGTTTACCGCCACCGAAGGTTTCTCAAAATGTGCTAATGTAGCCGCTAGTGGCCTGAAAGCTGCTCATTACCCAATTTGCAAGGACTTGCAAAACATTCACAGCTCAAAAGCGAAACGCTTATTTACACACATGAACGGCTTGCACCCCAGCAAGCTGGGGACACGTATCCCTCATTACTAAGGCGAGCTTGGGGCATTGCCTTGCGTAAGCCCTACGCTGTGATCAGTATACTCGATTACCGTAAAAAGTATCAGCGCTAGCACCACAAAATGACCCCCAGTTCGCTACTGCCACTGTTCTGGTCTATTTTCAACCTGAGCAGCACAATAGAGGCCACGTTTGCGTTTATACGCCATGGTGGTCGCCTACCTTATCGCGAATTGATTGACAATTGTTTTTTCCTACGGCTTGAGTGAAGTGAGTGAAGAGCGTGTTCATTCATCGTGACCAGATCGAACGATCCAAGCGAGGGGTCGCGAAGTATGACTCGCTGCGAGTAGGCTTATACTCGGACTTACTGGCGGCGACCCAAGGCTATAGTGGACTAGCTTCGTTCGATAACTTCGCAGTGTGGGTTCATTGCTGAAGAAGTAATTCATTCAGAAACGTCTCACCTGAGGAAGCGGCGACCGGAATCAGAGTAAGCATCCAAGAACATTATGAACCGGACAACTCCTATATAGAGGTTTGGCATTCTTTCAACTTTTTTTTGATAAGCGCTACGCTGCATTACGCTGTTTTTATGTGTGCAAGCTATAAATAGCTTCTTCATTGCCGAATCGAATTAATTTAATGATACTAGTTTTTTGTAATGACCGTGTTAGGTATCACACTCTTTGGAGGTCAGGCATACGTTATTTACATTTCCATCGTTGCCAAATGAGTAAGCTTCGGGTTCAGGACTCGTTTTGGCTGTGAAGTTTTTTCTATATGATTTCTCCCTAGTCCGACTTCGACCTTTAGCTTCCCTCTTCAAATTTCAAACATGGCATCGGCAAGGGGCGGAAAGTAGAAAATACGTCCCGAACTGGGAAAGTGCGGGAATAAGATGACAAACACGGCCTTCTGCCGCAAAAAATATCGCGGCAGCCAAGTTACCTTCGTCTGCCCTTCACCTGTTAGAGGGTGACTGGCGCACGACTATGGTCGGTCACTGAATATCCTCAACCAAAGTGAACCACTAGAGAACGTGAGCCACTCGAAAGAGCATTATTTGAACTTCGGACCACTTTTAGGCCTCCGAAAAGGGCAATTGAGAAGAAAAGTTAGGCCGATTCGAATAGTTCCAACTACAACCCCGAAAGGCATACGAGTACTAATACAATTACTACTGCTGATAAAGTCTTAGTGCGACGAGACGGTGTTAGTGGCGTGGAATGATCGTGCAACCGCAAGGTCTGGTAGAAAACGCTGCGAGCGGGCTCATTCCGGGCCTTCTGACACTACCTCGTCGAGTTGCTATAGCGTTCCTTTGACGCCCTGTCCTGTAACTTAACTTATTTATTACAGATCGCCCAAACAGAGACAGTCATCGGCCAAACAAATGTCACATTTCAGCATAGGTGCTCGTTGAATTATCGATTTGATAAGTTGGAGCGATTGAAATTCTCAGTGTAAGTCTTAGTTCTTTT